GAATCTATGATGCACCCTATTCAATGGCTAAGGTAAAATCAAACAAACTACATATTACTTTAGCATATTATCTATAACCCATAGCATTATACTAAGCATATGAGATTTAATGTAATATTTTGTATGAACACGTTTGTAATTTGTCATGGATTATAATATAGTACAGGGCCTATCCTCTATCATATTAGGTTTCAGTGTTCTTAATCTACACATAGGTGCAGCCAAAAGCTAAAATAGGTTCAGAAAGAGGATTAAGTTATGAAATGGGAGTGTTAACCTTTTATGAAGCTTAGGATCTATTTTGCCAATTGATATCCCTCAAAAAACATAAAAGCACCACTTTCTAGAAGCTACAGAAAGATATTCTATTTTTCATACCCAATGCTAAGCCACAATGACAAGCTTTATATCACTAATATTTGAGTTCACACTTCATATTTAGTGAAAGCCAAAAAGCATTGCAGCTTAGCATACTGGAATCTTTACTGTCAAGTTTTAAATTTCCAATATCATTTCTACAAACGCAACTAAGAATAGGACTACAACTGGTTTATAGCATATTTATCTGAAATTGCTTCCAGCCTTACATTTATTATATTTTGTTTTGCCTCACCCATGAAGTGTTATCGGGAAGGAGAACTAAATGCCATTGTTTTCTATCTGAAACTCAGTGTTTCCCTTCCATTTTATTTCTTCACCTCAGAAAATGTGTTAGACAGATTTAAAAGCTATGACTCAATTGTTCTAAGCAATTTTTATTTTTTAATGTCATGTTGGTTTTAAAAGATAAAGAATCCAACTACTGTGATGTATAAAATGTGATTTACATCTTATTTGTGAGGTTACATGAGCTTTTTGTTTAGCAGAACTTGGTTAAAACAAGTCATGATTTGGCACTGGTGAACCAAGTCAGTATCTTTTAACTGGTAAAACTGGTTTAACTTTTATCTGGAAACTTCCTTTCTCTTACTGCATTAATCCTAGAGTATGATTTCCATTGAGATTTCCTCCTTGGGAGAGGATGATACTATCAACCTTCAATAAGAAACCTTCCTCATACTCAGCAGTTTTTGAAAACTATAGACCAGTTTACAAACTTCTTTTTGAGAGAACATGTTTAGATTCAACTGTAGAAAATTTGAGAGAAAGCAGATTACAAGGTCCTTTCCAGCAGGATGTTGAGCTGGGCATGGGATGGAGTCAGCATTGATTGCTCCAGTGGATGGCCTTTACTGGGACCCAGATATGGGAAAGTGTGCCCTTCTTGTCCTAGGTGACCAATTTGTAGATTCTGATACTGTCCACCATGGTATCCCTCTGGGGATTCAATGCAGTGTTCTGAAGTGGGTCCATTTCTATCCCAGTAGGCAATTCTAGTCAGTGGTACTGGGAGAAGAAAGACTGGGGATTCATGCAGACTAATCCTTGCCTTCTTTAGCATCTATATGACACCATTTTGAGATGTCACCCCACAGTTTAGAGGCGATAGAAGTAAAACAACCAATATACTGATATTTAGCTATATATTTCTACCCTGGATCTACAAAAGATGTTGCTGAAATCTTATCATCGTGCCTGCAAGCTGCTGAGTTTTGGATAGGAGGTAATGGTCTAAAGTTGAACCTAGCAAGATGGAATTACTGTTTGCTCATTCTGGTTTCTGTCATGGACTGTACTGCCACTCACAGCTAGTGCTCAAAAGGCAGATTGATTTGCTGGATTTATGAGATTTAGAGGATGCCTGATTTGATAATAATTCCACAATGGCTTTACATCAAAATAAGAATAAAAGGAAAGCAATAAAAACATACTTTCCCTAACAAAAAAGCATTACCAACAGGGCTTCACAAACACCTTACCTTAGGACCCTTGGAGAACAGTCAATTTTTTTAAAGACTTCCAAACCATCATGAGGATGGAATGGATGCTGTGGAGGGAAGACTTGGGGGGTGAGTTATTTTCAGCTCTCTCTTTTGCAGGTTGATGCGCAATGATGATTTATGTCCTTGAAACCCATGCAATTAAAGTATTGTAATGTGCTCTTCATAGAGTTGCTTCTGAAGGCCATTTAAAACCTATAGTTAGTCCAAAATACAGTAGCTTAGTTGTTAATGTATGCTACTTGCCATGATCAATATTATACTGTACTGTGGGTCCGGCAATGGTTACCAGCATCCAGGTGCAATTTAAAGTATTAGTTTTGCCTTACAAAAGCCTTCATAAGTTTTGTATTTAGGTAATTTCAGGATCACTATTTCAATTCTGCTAAGGTGATCTTCCCAGGAAAAATGGTTCATAGTATCCTAACATCATTAGGTGAGGAAGTCTAAAGTCAGAAAACAGTGCTTTTCCATCATGGAAATAATGTTATGGAACACACAGAACCGACTCCCTCTAGAAGTTAGGCAGGCCCACCTCTATAACATTCTATTATATTTATTATACAAATTTTTATCTGGTATCTTACTATAAGCTGCTGTGAAAGTTTGACAAGATTAAGTATTACTTTGTAAATTTAATAAATACATAATTTGTATAGTTACCTACACTGTTGTTGCTGTAGAAAGTTCAAATTTGATCTAGCCAGTTTCAGGGAACAAGCACTGAGAGGGGATGACTGTAACTGAAAAAACTTCAAAATACCTTTGTCAGTTGTGACCAAAGTACAAGAGTTTATATTTCCAGCAAACTATAGTTCTTTTAAATCAGCATTAACGATAGTTAGCTAGCATTCAGAATTTCAACCATATAAGTTTGTTTGTAGAGTGACAGTCTAGAATTTACAAAACTAACTAAAGATCTAAAGCTGACTTATGTGATAAGGTTAAGTAGTAATCTAAACAAGTGACTATTACGTTATGGGAAGTCCTTAGTTTTCATTCTTTCTAGATTCTTCCCCCTAGTTAGGCAATTAACAAACATATATTGAGAATGGTATTTTCAAAATAATTCAGCAACTAAGTTAAACAAATTAACTGTACATATAATAAATAAAAAATAAAACAAAATGACCCGAATATTTAAAAAAATTCAGCAGTTATTGAAGTAAACTTTGGCTGGTTAGTAGGGAAATAAGTTTATATAAACCTGTAATATTAATAAAGATTTCAATAAGTAAATTTCAGAGATTCCTTTCTTCTAAACAGCATTGAACGTTTTTCCATTAATGAATATTTAAATCATGAATGTATTTATGGTACACTAAATATAGATACATTTACATATACTATATACAATAAATTGATGATTTCTATACTAAACATTTGAGGTGATATAAGTCAGAAACTGTTCACTCTAATAAAGGAAACAAAATATTATTACACAAGCAGACACTATAGAGTCCAACTGTATGACTGGTTTTTTGGAAAATTCCATTATCTTTCTGGGAGATAGTTGGATTATTTCAGATAAACTAGGGAAATACCCATTTCTTCAAGAATAGTATAAGACGAAACCTCAATAAATTTGAATTCTACACTGCAGTCATTAGGAATTCTCTCTAAACCACTTTGTATTTGTAAAACATTAATTTATCAAATACTATTTTTGCTTCCTATAACCACTTTAGTATGTTAGGTATTATATTACAATATATGCTCTTCTCTCACTAAAGTATAACATCATTCTCTCCTCCCCCCCCCTTTTTTTTTACCGCCAAGCAATTACCACTCACAGAAACTCCTTGGGTTAGGCCCTGCGTGGATCTGTTTAATAAGTCATAGTAAAATTTTGGTAATAAGAACATCAAGATCGGAAATACTTATATACAAGGTCAAGTCTGAGGAATTTAGTCAGCAGCACCTGTTATTTCACCAGACATGTTTAACAATGTCAGGAAAGGTGGAACAAGATACTAACTTAAGAAAGGACACTCCACCTCAGCTAAGAAAGCCCAAGTGGCTACTTCATTTCTAGCCTCTTCAGCTATTGATTGATAAGTAAAGAAAAGCTAATTTTTACCTCAAAGGAAAGGATTGCAAGCTCAGCACAGGAGCACACACTGGGTTTTTGGCCCAACCTCTATCATCTTAAGGAGAAATATTTTTCTGGGGACTTCTAGAGAGCTGCTTACTAGCCATCATATTGCTAGCATTCATTCTGTTCAAACCTGATGCCATCTTTAGATCATTTGGGGCAGCAAGGGAAGGGAAGCCATGTTTTGTATTACACATTTATGCGTTAGGATGTATGCCAACCCTGAGCATCAGACCACCAGTTTAATTACAATAATCAAAACAATTAATAAGTTAACTGACCTGCGATCAAAGATACTACATTCCACCTTTTTCCTCATTCCAACTAAACCTTTCAAAAATCCCATCTTCTGTTAGAAAATCACCCCCAAACACAAACAACCTTGCTTCTCCAACCAATGTCAAGACCTGTTTGGCAAGATGACACCTGAAAAACCCGTCAGGAAGCCTCCGAGAGGTGTGACTGAGAGGTGTGACTACCAGTGAAAAGTTGAAATCGAGAAAGATAAAGTGAGGGGCGCCAGTAATACCTCAAAATAAAGAAGATACCATCAGTTTACTCCCAACGGAGTCGAGCAGAGAAGCGAGCTGGTGTGTGAAACAACCTACAAAAGCATCTCACTTGCACAGGCCAATGATGGATTTGCAAATCAGAGCCAAAAACAAACAAACATTCTGTTCAAACCTGATGCCATCTTTAGATCATTTGGGGCATTTATAGTTGATGTGGCATTTATGAGAAAGAGTTTGAGGTTTTGTTTTTTTTAAAGGAGCAATTAATAACGTTATACAGGTTTTATGATGAAAGATGAAAGGGAGAACCATGACATTATCCGCAATGTATGAGAAAAGGGGGAAATGAGTTCTTCCCGGCTTGCTTTAGGCAACCACATCCCGCGGGTTGAAAACTTTTAAGGTTGGGAAAGAGGGGCAGACGGTACATCTAAAAAAGTTTCCATTAAAATAACGGCGGAGAAATCAAAAGGCAGGCAAGTTGGGGAGCCGATCCTGGAGTGTAGAGCTTACCTTAGTTTCCTTAACCACGCCGTTTTTCTTGTGGATCTCGTGTTTTAAGAAGTTATTTTTTTTCTGACGACAGTGTAGATGTCCATTGGAGAGACCTTTCGGGTGAGCCATTTGCTTTTAACACACACACCGGGTTTCTAGTCCCTTAGGAACGCCTCGGTACTTCAAACTTCAAAAAGTTCAGCAAAAAAAACCCCACCAACCCGATTCCTTTAAGAAAGAGGTATATAAAGGTATCCAACTGGTCCGGATGGCTGGTCGGGGAGATCGTTGTTGTTGTTGTTTTAATCACTTCATACAATCTCAACCACTTAAAAGGTAAACGCTCCCCGTAGTCCCAGCAAGCGAAAACTGCAAAACGGGGATTTACTGCAATCGCAAAGCGTAGAGCCCATACTGTGGCTGAGCGCACCGAGCTGTGACTCGTGGGGAATTAAGCGAAGCTGCTAAAAAGGAGGGCGGAGAAGAAGGCGGGAACGCTTCGAGGCAGGCAGGCTGCTTGCTAAAGGACTTAAAATGCGCAAAGCTGGCTTTGTTCAGGGCGCTCCGTGCGCCTTTTACATTGAATCTTAAAGGCTTGCTCTACTTGTATGGCGAGGAATCTGCAAGGAGAAGCCTCCCTGTTCGCTCTCTCTCTCTCTCTCTCTCAATCTGTACAAAAAGACTGCTTACTTTTAAACTAACTTTCCTCTCCCTCCCTCCCCCTCCAGCCCCATTGTCAGGAGAATCCTTAACCGATCTGAAAGTATTTTTTTTTCTGGAAGAGAAGCGTTGGTGTTGATCATCGACCTACGACGAGAATAGCCCCAAGACGAGATAGGCGGCAAATAAAATTTAACAAACAAACGATAGATAGATAGATAGATAGATAGATAGATAGATAGATAGATAGATAGATAGATAGATAGATAGATAGATGTCATTGCTAAACTACAGTAAACCTACCAATTATTTTTCAGGGAAAGACTCCACTAGTGTCTGCTCTTAAAGATTAAGAATTTAGGCTGATTTTAGGTGGACCTGCAAATCATAGGATTATTTGCTATTTTGATAGAAAACAAAAATCAGGAAAGCGGAAGGCGAAAAAGTTAGGTGCAGGGTACTGCTGCTGCTGGCTTGGAAATCCAAATTTAGCAACTTTAACAGGTTTTGGGCCTGCTTCTTCCTGCTGGTGTGTACTGATGTGTTGAGGACCCAGATCTTGTTCCTCTAGCCACTTTTTCATAAAGCAGGTTGTAGTCTTGGTGCTGTAATATTTGTGTTAATTTAAGCACATTAACCTAATGAATTCCAAAGCCTGGTTTCTATCAAATGCAGTTTCTCCCTCATTATACGATGTTGTGGGAAAAGTATGCCTCATGAATAGTGTTCAAAGTTCAGCAGGAATACATGCAGGAATATACAACTATTTGTATTAATATAATTACGATGGTGAAAGAACCAGTTTGGTGTATTGGTTATGGTCTAAGCATTAGGTATTTGTTCTGGGAGGAAGATGGGCGTTTTTTAAATATGATAAGTAAACAGAAATAAGGCATCAAGCTAGTAACTAGACAACAAAGTCAGCTGCGTGACCTTGGCCCAATCACTTTCTCTCAACTCTAGGAAAAAGATGCAGCAATTACAGGCATGCCAAGATATACCCACATAATACCTTCACTTCAACAACTGTATTGTTTACCAGTGGGATTCAGAATGCAATTCAAAGTGCTGACTATCACCTATAAAGCCCTTCATGACATAGGACCTGGCTATCTGAGGGACCCTAATAGTTTCTGCCAATCTTTGATGATCATACACAGCCAGCATGCTTTGTATGTCACCGAGGGGACACAGGAAAGAGGTTTTCTGGAATGACATTTATTTAAATGAGTCCCCAAAACCTATCTCTTCTCCCAAGCCTTGGGCTGGAGCACCTCTTGTGGGATGTTTGATCTGGCAGTGATCACATTATTTTTCCAGACAATCATTTTTTGCATTATTTTATTTTTTAATAGTTTCATATTGTACACCGCCTAGAGTTGTGAGGGAGTCAGGCAGCTTATGAAATAAATAACCTAACAACGTAGGGGATTTTAAAAGCAGGAGTACATATGATATGGTATGCATTAATGAGATTTATGAAGAAATGTGTGACTCATCTATTCAATCCCCTAGGTGCCTTAGGATGGATTTTAAGTGCAATTAAATGCAAAGTATGTTGCCATTGCATTAAAAAATAAATAAACAACCCCATCTAAATAAATTACAATACTAAATTAGTAGAAATAGAAGGTTGAATTTTAAATATGTTGGTATGTGCTTAAAATCAGAGCAGATGTAACTTGTACCACTGAAAAGTATCACTGTATTTTAATTTTCCTTTTTTTAATTTAGAATTTTAGTGAACACAAAATTATTTATAAAACAGTAAAAAGAAAAACAGTAACATCAAAAAGATTGTCTGCAAATGTGGAAAATCAATGCAAATTTGATAGACTGAGTTCAGAAAATATAATTACTACCTATGGTAACTCAGTATATGAAACTTCTTATTCACTTCTGAATAAATATGTATAGGAGCAGATTGCCAGATGTTACACCTACCAAGCAAAGAGTGTATTCAATACAAGTAGATGGGGTGAGGAACTGAACTGAAAATCCCAGTATTGGTTAGCGATTTGGTTAAAAAAGTGAAGTATATGGAAAGCTACAGACCAATCAGCCTGATACAGGCATGCAAATTAATATTATATTAAATAAACACAAATCACCCTTTATCCTTTTATTTTGGGGAGTTACTACAAATAACTACAAACAGATCATGAAAAAAAAAACCCATGTATATAAGATAGTTTATTCAGAAAAAGCATTGCCTACATAACATGGATGTGTTGTGCCTCTGCTGTTAAGCGTATAGTTTGCTAAACGATCAGTGTCCTTCAATAGATCTTAAGTTGTACGCTTTGGGTATGAAGTATAAGAGGAATAGCTAACACCAGGGACAAGAATCAAGATTCACAAGAATTATGATTAAAAAAAAAACATTAGAGTAACCCCTCCCAAATATTTTTGTAGAGTTAAAAATAAAGTCTTGTCCTCCGGTACCAAATAAATCAAAGAGACAATTATTTGATGGGAAAGAGCTTACATGGCCCAAATTTGTATAACAAAAAATATTGAGAGCCAATTTGATATATTGGTTAAGGTGCTAGCCTAGAAACCATGAGACTTGTGAGTTCTAGTTGCTTGTTGGGCATAAAAAACCAATCACCCTCTTTCAGCCCAATCACCCTCTTTCAGCCCAATTCACCTCACAAAACTGTTGTGGGGAAAATAGGAGGGGGAAGAAGTAATTAGATATGTTTGCTGCCTTGAATTCTTTATGAGAAAAAGGCAGAATAAAAAAAAAAATCTAAAACACAACAACATGTAAACCACACAGGATTGTAAGCTTAATATGTGCCAGTAAATGTAAAGCAGTTTTAAACTGCTTCAAAAAAAAGTTTGATATGCAAATCATGGCAGCACTACATATCCCTTTGTTCTGGGAAAGATAAAACTGGAGTGTTGTGTCTAATTAGTGTGCTACAATTTTAGGAAGTCATACCAGTCATATCCAGAGAAATGCTGGCTGGTGAAGGAACTAGAGACCAGTTTGGTCTAGTAGTGGTTAAGGCACCAAGCTAGAAAACAGGAAGCTGAGTTTTTTAATCATGCTTTAGGCATTAAAATATACTGGATGATTTTGAACCAGTCATTCTCTCTCACATCACAAGGTGGTTGTTGCAGAGGAATAAGAGGAGGACAGGGCATTATGTATGTTCACCACCTTGAGTTATTTATAAAGTCTTATGAAGCAATACTTATAAAGGATAAAAATATAATCTAAAAACCAATTTGTATGAGAAACCATTGACATCATTGCTTATGTTTAGCCTGGAAAAGAGTAGGCTTAGGAAGTTATGATAGCACACTTTGAATACTTTAGAGTATTTCTTGATCCCCAGATGTTATTGGATTTGCTTGTGACAACTGTAGTGAAGCACATGTTTGCATAAATATTCCTAGTGTCCCAACTCTGATTTAAAGAAGCCTACTTATTCTACTTTGGTTTCATTCTACATTTCTATATTTTGTTTCATCATAAAATCCATGTCGACTGTGCATTACATGGGGTTGTGCCTGAAAAGTGTTTGGAAATTATAATTGGTGCAAAATAGATTGATTAAGCAGCTAATGGGTATAAAAGAATGTAATATCTGTGTAATCTTTTGTTTACTGGGCACAATATATGGTCCTGGTGATGGCCTTTAAAAATCATAAATGGCTTAGCATCTGACCATTTGAGGGGTTCCTGTTAGGAATGATAGTCACCTAACAGTTGGGTTGGAAATATATAAACCAAGATAGTAATTTAATACTGTATCTTTAAGAGAATGGTGTCATTGTGATTGGCTGAGTTTCCTCCAATGGCCAAAAGATGGAGCCAGAAACCTGGTTTGTTCTTTTTGCATTTCCTTGTTGCTTTTTGCCTGATAGTCATTTTGCTTGGATTGCTGTGAGTCTTGCAACTGTTAGCAAACTCCGTTTACTGAACTTTGTTTATGATACTGGACTTTGTTTTTGGATTATCCCTGGACTGATACTAACTGCTTTAACCGTGTATGATTTGGACTGTTTGTTGGACTTTGTTTACACGTTTACTGGAAGTAAATCCTACATTTTACTATTCAGTGTATCTGTATGCTGGTTTCCCTGAGTGCACTCATTCTCCTAACGGGGAATACCTCAACAGTTACTTCTAGGATTCTGCCCAGCCATATCAGCAGGAAAAACCCTTCTGAAGTCCCTTCCTGCCCTCTGTTCCCCCCAAAAAACTAATCTACCAAATATAGGCTACCAAATATATTTCTGAAAGAGGCCCCATTCCTCCTGTATTTAGGAAAATGATGAACCATGAAACCATATCGTTCACTGAGTATTTAATTGTTAATTGGAATGATCTTGATATAAATACATAAGTAACCTTCGTAATATTCCATTGGAATATAATATAAGCAAAGTTATGAAAAGTATGAAAAGGGCATAAGAAATACTGAACTAAAAGTAAAACTGTGAGAAATGAAAGAAAAAGAAATATGGCTAAATCTAACATTTTTCTATAAATTCTTTTCATTTACTGCTTCACGAGTTGCCTTTTATTTTTACTTTTATTTGCAAACCTCAATGCTGTACAAATACAACTTTACTATTTCTTTTTGTTTTGCTGTACACATTCCATAAGTATCTCATTTCTACTGCATTCAGTGTATTTTCTTATTTTTTTCTGACATATCTAAGTCTTATTTCCATATAACAATGA